CCCCCCCCCCCCCCCCCCCCCCCCCCCCCCCCCCCCCGGTTCTGCAGCCCTCCAGGATGGAATCAATGGAATATGGAATTCTGGAGCACAGCAGTGGGAGACAGGCAGGGATGGGAAAATACTACCACGGGGGCTTGGACAGCTTCCTTACACTTTCTAGAAACCCAAGATGTTCACCTCTGTAGAGCGGACACCTCCGTTGTTTCTCACATATCTGCAAAAAAGAGCTGTGGATTGGACTGGAAGGATGCATACCTTAAGGTCAGGCACACCCTTGCGTGAATCGCGACTTCCTGTTATTTGCTCGGTGGCTTTGGACAATTCAGGTACATTCTCCGAGTTTCTATTACTTCAGCTGTGATTTAGGAATAGCAACGTTGCTGTGACCTCATAAGGATTTTCTCATGTCATGTTACTGAGACAATTCATCGAAGTTATTTAATAATCTGCAACGTGATGCACGTTTCCAGTTCCTTTCTTTTCTCCTCAGAATAGAGCAATTTAAGCTTTCCTATGAATTCTCTGTATCATTGCCTAAAATTTCCACATGATGGATTTTTAGAATAGAACAGAATGGATCTCACTCGATTGGCCTTTTCCTCTGAGCCTACATTACTTGTTTTCTTCAGAAAGCCATACTATTTTTCTGTATTTAACATAATGGCTGCATTTTAAGATTTTGAAAAAGCAGAGAAAAGTTCACATAAAGGTACATTAACCACACACAACTAGCAATATTTGCTTTCATTCCAAGTCTTTGCTGATACATAAATGGTTTTTGAGAGTTTAATTATGGTTTACGTGCACCCTTGTCTCTAAATGTTTTACACTTCACATTATATATTAAAAATCTATCCAAGTGTCTGTTAATTATCACTTTTCTGTTTGCACAATATTTTAAAAAAGAATAATGGTATGATCTATTAAGCATTTTCAAGATGCCATATATGTATATTTTTAAATTTTATTTATTTATTTTTGAGAGAGAGAGAGAACACAAGCCAGGAAGGGTCAGAGAGACAGGGAGACACAGAACCCAAAGCAGACTCCAGGCTCTGAGCTGTCAGCACGAGCCCGATGCAGGGCTTGAACCCACGAACCGTGGGATCATGACCTGGGCCAAAGTTAGATGCTTAACCAACTGAGCCACCCAGGTGCCCCTAGATGCCGTATATGTTTTAAGTGACCTATTTTTGTTACTGTAAATAAGTATCCCTTTAACATTCATATTCATAAATTCCCTTTTGTGGGATTATTGGATCAAAGCATAAGGATAAGAGCAAGTGTTACACATCCTAAATTCCATGCCAAAAGGTTTTTTCTATTTACATTGTCATTAGAAATACCTGGATTATCGGGTTATGACACCCTCAGTGAAACACCTCTCTTCTAACGATGAAATCAACTGCAGAATATTTCAAGTGAAATATAAAAGGTAGTAGCAAAATGTTTCATTTTCTGGCTGACATCCTAGTATATCAGGTTTTCTTGATCTCTGTTTCTTTAGCATCTAGAACATCACTCGGCATCTAACGGGAGAACATCCTTTACTTTTTAAATGAATTAATGGTAAACAATGAAAGGAAGATTGGAATCTATTGCTGACCTTGTAAAACAGAAACAAGTAACATTTTAATGGGTAAATTATGAATTCCAATGCAAAGGACGGACAGAAATTAAGGGTGGTGCATGTTGCTCTAAAAGCTTCCTGAATTACTTCTATCACACACTTGCCTCCGTGTAAACCTTTCTGTGTATCTCAAGAGTTAAAAAAAAAAAAAAAAGGCATATTCAGCTTCTGATGAAGAAGATAATCTTATTTTTCAAAACTCTAATTGTAAGGGGCGCCTGGGTGGCTCAGTCGGTTAAGTGGCCGACTTCGGCCCAGGCCATGATCTCGTGGTCCGTGAGTTCGAGCCCCGCGTTGGGCTCTGTGCTGGCAGCTCCGAGCCTGGAGCCTGTTTCAGATTCTGTGTCTCCCTCTCTCTGACCCTCCCCTGTTCATGCTCCGTCTCTCTCTGTCTCAAAAATAAATAAACGTTAAAAAAAGTAAATAAAACCTTGTCCTCTCATGTGTATGAACATGCATATACCTACATGTGGTAAAAGTCTTAGATGGATGGGAAGGGAAAAATAACGTTTGTCTCTGAGTTCAGAAGGAAGGAAAATGAGCTGGCGGCTCAGGGCTGAGGCTCCAACTCTGCCTACAAAGTTTTATTAATTTTTTTTTAATTTTATAACATTGAAGCAAATGAAGCAAAAAGCTGACCCTGGGCAATAGATAACGTATTTGTAATCATATTATCTGTGCATATATCCTTAGTAAAACAAATGACAGTAAGAGAAAATACTGACACAGAGCCACTGCCAAGCTGGCAGAGAAAGACTTTTCTGCTATCTCCTCCCCTCCCTGGATCCTCACTCTTCCAGCTTGGATCTGCTCCCAATCCAGGGATTTTGCCTATCCCCAGCCCAGACTCAAGCCCGGAATCATTGCCAAATTCAGCCAGAATATATACAACCAAAAATGAGCTACGCCTACCTTGATGTCTACCCCAGGCTGCTGGTGGGTTTTAAGTAGCAAGCTGTTCTGGTTTGCAACCTTGTGTTTCATATCTTTCATGGAGTTGCCCCCTGCCCTTGGCCCTCTGTGGAGAAGGATTGTTATGGTAGAATTGTTACTCTAGGCTTCTTTATTTCCAACTTTAGGTTAGATATAAGGGCGGTAAAGATAAGCTAGCCTTAATATTATCAGAAGATAATGAACAATCTACCACGCTCAGAAACAGAGATAACAGCTTTCTGAACTCTTCTGATGGTGCATATTCCACTGTATCAGTTTCCACTTGATTCTTTTATTTAGACCCAAACTCCCTGATTCGCGTTTATATTAATAGTTCTGTTTAATTCTAGTTCCGTTCTTAAGGCGCCCCTACCAAAAAAGATGCCTTCAAACCCTGGCCTCTTCTCTGCCCAATGCTTTTTCTCCTTGCTGAGAGTATGCTTTTGAAAGGCTAAAATGTTTCCTTTTCCTTATCTCAAACATCCGAGTGAGACACCTATAGATTCAACGTTTATCTGAGGTATAGTGAATAGTGCTCAGAATTTCTTTTCCAGTCCTTACATGACAGACACAAGGATCTACTTATTATCTATATATTAGAATTAAAAAAAAAAAAAAAAAAGGAAGCTGAGAATTGATCCAAGATCACACAAGGAGTAATTAGTCAAACCAAGTCTGTCCAAACCCATGCCTATGTTGTTGGGGTTAATTTCAGCAAGCCTGAAACAGACCTGAGAGGTTTTTCGGGAGTACCTGTGGGGCACTGACCCTTAGTCAAGGCATGGACACGTGGATTCATTGTGTTGCTCTGTAATCAGAGGTCTAAGGAGTTTCTGGGTGGCTTGTGCCAGCTTGTCAGCATTATTTATTGATAACAGTGTGACTAGTGATGTGTACGTGGCTTCAGCGAGACCACAGAATGGTATGTTATTGGGGCTGGTTGCAATAACATGCCCATGTGACAAGCCAGGTATAAGAAGCCCCCAAGCCAATACAATTTGGTCCTGGTCCTGAGGTTTTCTGTTGGGATGCCTTATCAAAAACAAACGTGCATCACAGGGGGAAAGGGAGGGCAATTGGAACACAAGCCCGTCATTATGGACCCCTTGCAATGAGGCAGTCATTAGCTGGCACGCACATTTTTAGCTTAACGCTGTTGCTATATCGTGTCCTAGTCCTGCAAAATAGATCTTAAAGTGGGACGCATAGTCATTTGGATCCTATGAGTCTTCTTTAGAAATTAAACCCTGGGGCGCCTGGGTGGCTCAGTCGGTTGAGCATCCGACTTCGGCTCAGGTCATGATCTTGCAGTTCGTGGTTTCGAGCCCCGTATCAGGCTCTGTGCTGACCTCTTGCTCAGAGCCTGGAGCCTGCTTCAGATTCTGTGTCTCCTTCTCTCTCTGCCCTTCCCCTGCTCACGCTTTGTCTCACTCTGTTTCTCAAAAATAAATAAATGTAAAAAAAATTTTTTTTTAAATAAAAAGAGGGGCGCCTGGGTGGCGCAGTCGGTTAAGCGTCCGACTTCAGCCAGGTCATGATCTCGCGGTCTGTGAGTTCGAGCCCCGCGTCGGGCTCTGGGCTGATGGCTCAGAGCCTGGAGCCTGTTTCCGATTCTGTGTCTCCCTCTCTCTCTCTGCCCCTCCCCTGTTCATGCTCTGTCTCTCTCTGTCCCAAAAATAAATAAACGTTGAAAAAAAAAATTAAAAAAAAAATAAAATAAAATAAAAAGAAATTAAACCCTAACCGCTACCACTGGAACATTGGGCATCAGAAGTGACATTGCAGTGAAGAGCTAGATTCGTCTTTAACTGAAAATATTGCTAAGGATTTATTTATAAGTAAAAAGGGTGGTTTTGATAAAGGGAATGCCCAGGTGGTTACTGAACCCCTTCGGTTTGAGGTGGCACAGGCTTTAAAATCAGTTGCTGATAATAGGACTTCCCGGTATCATATGGAAATGATAGAAACCTGACCTGAGGATCTAGCAAAATGGATGAGTAAGGAACTGCAAAAGAATGGCAAGTCAGCTGAACATTCCTTTTTAGTGTTCCTGCTTATCAAGACCAAGAGTGAGCTTTTCCCTCTTTGGCCAGTAGGAGGAGCGCCAGCCAAAGGAACGGGGACAAATCACACGGATCAATTGTCTACATCTATAAAAATGGCTCCTAAGAATTTAGTGTATAATGGACTAACGGAGAAGTGCATCATTTACACTCAAAAGAGGGCAAATGCTCTACTGTCCCTCCTTTGCCTTGTGATGGTCAACGCCTACTGAAGCCATGGAAATACCTCAAAAGCTGGTGGCTTCAGAATGGCTCTACAAAAAATCTA